ACTTAGCATTAATAAGCAAGCTAGCTTCCAGCAGTTGAGATAATACACAGTACTTAAATATTTCCCTTGATGCTTTTACTCTTCAAGCAGTAGTAGTCCATCAAGTCGCTATCAAGAACACTTATTATTAGTAACAGGGAGCGCAGAAATATATGAAAATGTATCATCTTTAATTTAGTTTAACTAATCTTTTCATTACGCCAGGTTTCAGGCACCGCTGGCTTCTGCGCTTGCCGCTTCCAAAGGGGGAAAGGATGCGAATGCCACAGTATTTATTTTTCACTTTCAATTTGCTTTGCTCTTTGTCCCCATTCAAAGGTTTGTGGGGCAGGAATCCTAGCTTTCCTTTCCGCGGGAGATTCGGCTTTTAAGTTTCCATTGAAAGGCTGGGGAATTGTTTTAGTTGAAAAGGAGCCTGATTTGAAGAAACCTTTATCCAAAGCTTAACTGCCGTGTGCTGCTCGTGGACTTCCGTTCTTCTTCTAGCTCACCAAGCTATTTTAGCTAAATAGGCAGAAGGTAGGGCAGGGTCACATCTTGGAGACTAATTGGTTCAAAGAGGCATGTGCTTTTATGCTCACCTCTTTGTATATAAATAATAGCCTCCTTCCCTGTGTTCGTGCCCACATTGTCAATGATGCAGTGTTATATCTGTCATACTGGTTGCCGGGGCTGTGAACGGGATGGTATCGTTGCATATCTGAATGGATATTAATAAGGGCACCGAGTCAGAGGCAGTTGGATAAAACAAAGGGAGCCTTCATTTCTGGGCTCTGGGACAAGGCAGCTTCTTCAGAAAAACCCTAGGAGCAGCCAGATTGAGAGGAGAGACTTAGGCCAGAGTCTAGGTTGCCATTTCTTTAACTATACATCATGCCAAACCTACGAAACTTGGAGCGAGGAGCACTTGTAGGTTCCGCTAATAGCAGAGCGGAGCCGCCACGTGATTGTATTGGCATTATTTCAATAACTACTTGTAATAGGGTTGTAGCTGGAGAGCTGTCGTAATTAGTGAAGGTGTGTAGGTGTCGAGTAAAATTGTAGGTTCCGCATCAATTAACTTGAGCCAGATTCTAGGAATAACAAGGACAGAGCTTTAAATTGCCAACGATTTATATTATATTGGGGGGGATTCTGCAGAACGTGGCGTCCTTTGGGATTTAATGGTCTCCGAGGTGGAAGGGGAAAATCCATGCAAGCATGCGATATCTGTGGCCAAGTGTGGGGTTTCAGGTAGCAGCTGCCTGCCTGCCTGCATGGTACAACACGAGGACTTCATTCTGCCTTTCGCATCTGGTCCATTTTGACAGCAGCTTTTTAGTAACTGCAGACGGTATAATAAGGAGAAAGTCACCTCTTTGAACAGGGCTTCTTTGTGTGGGCCTGTGAACTAATGATGGGAGGTTATAAATACTATTTACCAGTATTTGCATGGGTAGGGGGGGATTGGGGAGTTTTAAACTGCTTTTTACATGATCTTACAAAATTATTTGTGGTTCCCACCCCCATGTCTATAGGTGTGCCGTTATCTACACAGTGGGGGCCTCAAGGCTATTTCTACCCAATCCAGATTGCACAGTATGGCTTGAGTCACTACAGTAAAAACCTGACGGAGAAACCTCCTCACATAGAGGTGTACGAAACAGCCGAAGACAAGGACAAAAGCAGCAGGCCTACTGACTGGACTGTCCCAAAAGGCTGTTCTGTTGCAACGGTGTTCGATAAATCCCGGTTCACGAACGTGAAGCAGTTCGTCGCTCCAGGTGGGTTGCTGTAGAGTCATAGCGGATAAACTTGTTTATTTGCAGGGAGGTTCCCAGGGAAGACGCAACTTCACGGATCAAGTACAGAGGTGTATATCCTTGTTTTGGGGGGGGGGGGTTCCCATCCACGAAACATCTACTCCTTTCTCTCAGCCTCTTCATTTTTTCTTTCCTTCTAACTTCCAGCTTAGTTTTTTCTGACTTTTAACTCGCAAATGTGCTGTAGCTGTATTACGGAAGAGATGGTGCTACACAAGCAATTGGAGGAGCCACCTCTTTGGGCTGCCATGCCTGTCAGAGTCAGAAAACTTCAGAATGGGTTCAGGAGTATAGAACAGCACTTGCCTCAGCCCTTTTTCTAAGCATTTTAATGCCAACATGGTCTCATGAAATCTTTTGTAGAGCCTTACCCATGTGGCCCTTCCTTTAGCAGCCCCCGCAGTCAGAAACTTTTTGCTAGGATGTAGATATTTGGGCTGACACTTGCTATACAAGGTCTTTCTGCCATAGTTAGCCCATCGGTCCAGGCCTCTTTCAGGCTAACAAGAGGAGGCCATACTCAGCCGTGGAATGCTCTTGTGGCCACAGCACAACGCTGTCGATTTTGTGTAGCCAGGGCTAGTCCACGAGCGAGTTACGGTGGTTGGCACATACCTCTTTTGGTTGTTTCCGGGTGAGGGGGATCTTTAATGGATGGGATCTGTAGGTTACAGAATGGAGCAGCTGTCCGGTTCAGTAAAGCTTGTGCACAGGAAGTTGATGGAATTGGGTCTGAGGGCTTTCAGGGAGATTTATCTTGCTCCTACTCCTGGGGTCTGGTGTGACTGTGTCTGTGCCCTCTATCCGGTCTTCTTTGAGTCAATAATCAGTCACCGGTAACTTGGATCATCATCTCTGCATAGCAGGATCCCTGAGGTTGTAGTGGGTCTCTGTTGTCACAGCAAAGGAGGTGCCCAGGAGAAAGAGGCTGGTGAGGCTTCCTCTGTCCAACTGATCCCCAGCTCCCATGCCAGCCCTTTGGGGGTGAGAGCAGCCGGAGTGACTTTGGAGAGCCTTTCTGCTATTTTCAGGGATGGCTGGCTATAAACAGCCCACCCAGAGGCCTGTGCTGTTTACTTTCAGCTATAGCCAAGGCTTTGTCCCGAAGCATGGCCAGCTAATGCATACGTCTCTCCCTAGAGCCATAGGGTGCATCTACACATGTGCTTTTTAATGCGCATTACTTTATTTTAATGTGCATTAAAGCATCACTTTAAAAACAATGCTATTAATGCTCATTAAAATAGGCTAATGTGCATTAAACGTCACTTAAAAAGCATGCTCTTTAGCTAATGCTCATTAAGACAGGCTAATGCGCATTTTCTAGTACCTCACAATGGAGGTACTAGATTTAACGTGCGCTAACTAAAGCACGTTAATGCACGTGTAGACGCGCCCATAGGTCCCACTCCACTCCTGGTGCTTTTCAGACGTACTGCTGCTTCCTCTGGCGATTTGTCATACTCCATTTCATACTTAACAGAATAAGCCATGGATAAAATTCATTATTTTATGCAACTATTCCCCTTGTCTGAAGACAGCCTCATTAATAAGGACATAATGTATTTTCCTCCTTAATCAATACCCATTAGAATTAATGAGTCCATTACTTAAAAAGACAATGAAGTAATTTTAGTCAGCACCTTGGGCCTGGGTCTCCGAGGAAAAGATTGTTGAGAACACTCTTGTGTCTTTGTAGTAGATAAATAGAAGGAGAGGGAAGGTTATAGGATCTCTTATGTATTCTCCCCTCATCCTTTATTGATGGCAGAGTAATCTTCAGACCTTGAAGGCCACACTTCGCATCCCCTTATTTTAGATGCCCTTTAGTAATGGATTTATGAGCACTTAATGCAGTGCAAATAATAGGCAACCTTTGGGGGTTTTTTTATTTGGTTCTTAAAATTTTCTGTCTGCCCACTTCCTGTTTGTGTGATGAGAAGCAAACGGGGCTGGGATAAGTAGAAATGGGAGCTGGCGTGGTCAGCTAATGCGCTTTCACAAAAGCCCAAACTTCACCACATTCTCTAAGTATCAGCTGCGACTTCGGTAGTCGCCTACAGTAGAGCCGTTGGGTTGTAGCTGTGTTAGGCTAAGGACGTAGGCAGACAGACCAGGTTCTTTGGGTAGATGGGATCTCTTTTATTGGACCAGCTAAATAGTTAGAAAAATTGTTCTTTGCAAGCTTTTGGGCACAAACGCCCTTCTTCAGGCATAGGGAGAGTCTGGTGTTTGTGTGCTCTCCTGGGGGAAAAAAAAGCCATAATGCAAAATACTACAGGTCTGTGAAAATGCAAATGCCAGGCAGTGAGAATCAAAGAGAACGAGAGACTGCAGGTGTGAGGAGGTGCTTGGGGTTGTGGGGAAGGTGGTACAATATAGCTGGTAAAATCCAGACGGGTTACCTGGGGTTACACTTACACACTTGCAATAGAGTGCATTTAGTACACTTACACACTTGCAGAAGAGTGCAGTTAGTGTAGCAAAACACAGCTAGTGTTCTCTAGGTGCTGAGTTTGAGACCTTGGAGGAGCTTAGCTTTGACTTTTTGAGCATTTAAAAAAATGCATTTATTAATCAAAATAGGAACAGGTGGGATGAAGCCTTACACGGCAAAATGTGAAAACAGTCCTAATGCCGAGTGTAATGGATTTGTCGGGGACATGGGAAAAGCCCTATGGACTTTCAGGAATAGGGGTCATAACTCATTTATTGCACTTAGAAATATTTATGGGATATTTCGCACATCAAGAAGCATGAGCAAAGAAACAATTGCCCCTCGCATGAGAATTTTATGCCTTGAAAAACCATTAATTTAGAACGACTGCCTTTAAGTGTTTACTGTCCCTCTGTGCTTTCAGAATGACAGGATCTGCATGCTGTCTAACAAACTAATTATTCCTTTGATCATCTTGGTTTGGGGGGATTAAGATTTTACTTTTTGGAAGCCAGCCTGCGAAGAAACACCGGGCTTCACGGTGGCATGTTGCTTTGAAAACTTATTTAATTGTTAGCACATGTGAAAACCAGAAAGCACCAAGAGTTTTGCCCTTATAGATTTTTAATGCTCACACTCGCACACTCTGAAATGTGAAGTCATCTTATTTTGTGTTCGTTTTCCCCCTAAACCGATCAGTTCCCTGCTCTTGGAGCTGTCAAGGATGCAGAGATGCAGCTAATAGATTTCAGTTTTAGTCCCAGTGGATTTCTAACTACCTGTTTCTTTTTCGGTTCACCAAGCTCTTTTGCTAAAATTGCCGTTGTCTGTTAAAAAAGCCAGCGTAAACGCGGCCTTGCTGTGACTGCACGGTTTCTCTCCATTTCTGTTTCTGCTTCCAGCGTGAAACTGTGACGTTATTTCCTTGCAAATTCGGGAGCTTCTGAATATCAAGCCAGGTTGTCTCTGGTGCGCTGCTAGTCATCAAGCTTGATCCTCAGTTCTGCCTTCACAAACGCCCGTTGCCTTCAGTGGGTTTGCAGTTAGAGCTGATGTGCTGGGAATCACTAAACAATTAAGCTGATAACAACGGGATCTGATACAAGGTTGTGTCTGGGCAAGCGAAGAGAAAAGTGGGTGGTTAATTATCTCAGGCACAGGGTAGTTGATATGATTTATCTGACTGCGAGTCTAAGAGCAAGTAATTCCAGACTACGATGAAACACTGAATTTATGTGCATCAAACTGCATTCTCATGGCCAATTCCTATAGCGGTAGGTGCCTTTTGCCTTCTGCCTTTCTGTCTTTTTGGTCGTAACCCCCTGGAACAAGGTGTCTGTATCATGTTATTAGGATGCCCACCAAGAGCAGAATAGGATTTATTTTAAAAAGGATGGCTAATGTCTGCTCTGGCTATGTTGATACTACCAAACACATTTCGTGATATAACTAGTACCTCTTTTTCCATCACAGCCTCTCCCATTCTTTCATGTTCCTGATGCCATCTTCTCTTTGGCTGAAGCTCCATCCTGGCATCTGCACTTCTGCCAAGCTACTGATCAGCTAGCAAAGGTGCTGATAAAGCAATTCGGCCCCGGTTTGACTCCGCACCTCCTGGAGAGAATGCAGCAGGATGTTCACATTGGCTAGCCAGGAGGAATTTCCCTTGGTGTTACAGGAGTCACCCTTGACTCATTAATTGGATCGTTTTATGTTTAATTTAGTAACAGGCAAGGATGAACTGACGTAAAAATGGAAATAGGAATTTAGGTTTATTGATCAAATGCCCTTGAAGTATTTTGGATTTTATCGGGTGACCTCATTATATGGTACAACCTCTGGGGTGCAGATGAATAGGACATTTAACAGGAAGATCTTCTTATGCCTGACACATTTTCTTTTGTTTCTGGTGCTTTTCTTTTTCTTCCAGAAAATACTGAAGGGGCCTCTCTGCAGCTGGGGAACACAAGGGACTTCATTATTTCTTTTGACCTCAAATTCCTGACGAACGGAAGCATATCAGTGGTTCTGGAAACGACCGAGAAGAACCAGCTCTTCACAGTGCACTACGTCTCAAACATGCAGCTGATCGCTTTCAAGGACAGGGACATTTACTACGGCATCGGGCCGAGGACTAGTTGGAGTACCGTCACCAGAGACCTGGTCACTGACCTCCGGAAGGGAGTGGGCCTCTCCAACACAAAAGCTGTAAAGCAGACAAAAATCATGCCGAAAAAGGTGGTCAGGTTGATTGCAAAGGGAAAAGGCCTCATTGATAACATCACGATAGTGACCACGGCGCACATGGCGGCTTTTTTTGCCGCCAGCGATTGGCTGGTGAGGAACCAGGATGAAAGGGGGGGCTGGCCCATCATGGTGATGCGGAAGCTCGGGGAAGGGTTTCGGTCGTTAGACCCAGGCTGGTACTCTGCCATGGCCCAAGGGCAGGCCATCTCCACGTTAGTCAGGGCTTACCTGTTAACGAAAGACCACACATTCCTCAATTCAGCTTTACGGGCCACAGCACCTTACAAGCTCCTGTCTGAGCAGCACGGCGTGAAAGCCGTCTTCATGAAGAAGCACGACTGGTATGAAGAGTACCCGACCTCGCCTAGCTCGTTCGTGTTGAACGGTTTCATGTACTCGTTAATCGGGCTGTATGACTTGAAAGAAACGGCGGGGGGGGAACTTGGGGAAAAGGCAAAAGCCATGCTTCCGCTCTACGATACTGGCTCAGGGACGATCTACGACCTTCGCCATTTCATGCTCGGCACGGCTCCCAACCTGGCCCGATGGGACTATCACACCACCCACATCAACCAGCTCCAGCTGCTGAGCACGATTGACGAGGCCCCGATTTTCAAAGAGTTTGTCAAGAGGTGGAAGAGCTATCTGAAGGGCGGCAGGGCAAAGCACAACTAGAGCTGACAACCAAAACCGCGCGTCTGCTGTCTGCGGGAGCCGCTGGACTTCTCGAAGGGAAACGGGGTGCGTTGTAAAAGGCCGCTTACTAAGCGATGGGCTGTTTCAAAGAAGTGATCCTTAAAACTGATGTGAAACGATTGCATTCCAGCGTGGTAATGCTTTGATCCGGTAAGGAGAATTTGGATCAAAGCTAGCATCTCCTTCAACTCGTTTACCTGTCCGTAGCGTCCCACCATGAAATCACTCGCCCGTGTCAAACTCCATTTGTACTCCTGAGTTTCGGGGGGCGGAAAAATTCCTTTTTGTAGGGGAGGGGGGGGAAAAAAAAGATAATTTACAGAAGCCATAAAGGTCCTTAAAGTCCAGCACTTGCCTGAAAAGTTAGGATGTGGCCTCCTTTAAAATGGAATAATCTGTGTATATGTTGACAACAGAGTAACGAATCGTGGTGTAATGCAGTAACCGTGTATTTACTTGTAGCCTGGGTAGTGGACAGTGTATCTTTTTAAAGGTGTTTTTTATACCGGTTCTTTTCTCGAAGGGGGGGAAAATACACAAATATTTGTTTTACGGTTCTATATATCGAGGTACTTTCAATGTACGGTTTCTTTAGGGGTGTGTCGATTTGAAAACGCACCTAGCCAGCATTCGGGCTCCTAACTTGTGTTACGTAAGCACAACTCGAAGTGGGACTAGCTGACTGCACAAAACTTTGCAAGCATACCATCCCCTTTTTTTATAAAGCCAAGGCTACAATCACGTTTGAGGCTTGCTGGTCGCCGTTTCTGCCGTGCCACTGAAATCTCTTGTGTACTGTATTTCCAATTGCATTGAAGAGGCTTCTGTGCGCACGGGGGAGATTTCTGTTGGCAACCTAAACATGGGCTAAGGAGCTAATTTTTGAGTAGCTCATAGGAGCCTTGATTTCACTGGACTTATCGGTGATTTTTTTTTTTTTTTTTCCTATGGCAATTTTGTTTTTAAAATGCTTTTTTAAAAAGCCGATCAAGAACGTAGTACACTAAAATGATTGTGTCCGTCTCCCCACCTTTACCTATGCTTTAAACACTCACGACACCTACGGCCCTGAGCTTATTCTTTATGTCTGAATCGTCTTAGTGGTTCTGGCAAGTGAGAGAGGGTATCTGTGCAATAACCGAACACATCCGAACCCAGATGTTCGCTCCGTCCAGGTTTCAGAATTAACACAGAATTTCCTTTTTGTATTTATAACCTCTTTTCGCTGGACTTTATGGTCTTTCAGCATGTGGATTGCCTACTGAAAAACCCAAGGAAGTAAAACCAATTGATCGTGTCACTAGACCAATAATATTTGATATGGTAAGCTAGCTGGAATTTGGTTGTAGGCCATATTAATACCTGCCAATATTTTGGTACAGGCACATTATGAATCTCAGCCCCCGAAGCTCCAGGGATTTTCCGGTATGATTAAGTGCATGTTGACATGAGCAAACCTTTGAGAAATCATCCAGGAGCACATCTGCACGGGCCCGGCAGGGCAGGTAATGCTCAGGGGCAACCAGCACGGGCTCATTGAGGGCAGAAACCTGGTTTCTTTTTATGAACAGGTCACAAAGTCCCTGGACGAGGGTGTCGGGGTGAATGTCGTCTTCCTGGGCTTTAAGAAGGCCTTTGGCATGGTTTCCAAACACATTTTCTTAAAAAAACTAGGTGACTGTGGCGTTGATGCCTACACAGTCAGACAGGTGGCAAATTGCCTAGATGGTCGCACCCAGAGAGTGGTGGTGGACGGGTTGTTTTCGACCTGGAGGGCTGTGGGCAGTGGGGTCCCCCAGGGCTCGGTCCTTGGGCCCGCACTGTTCAACATCTTCATCAGCGATCTGGATGTGGGTGTGCAATTCACGCTGTCCAAATTCACTGAGGACACCACGTTGTGGGGCGAGGTGGGCACGCTGGAGGGGAGGGACAGCATCCAGCTAGATGGAAACGGGTCACAGGGGTGGGCGGATGAGAGTAGGATGGAGTTCACTGCAGACAAGTGCAAGGTGCTGCATCTAGGGAGAAGGAACCAGGTACACACCTATAGGCTGAGGGACACCCTTCTCAACGACACGGTGGCAAAAAGAGACCTTGGAGTCATTGTTGACTCCAGGACGAACATGGGCCGACAGTGTGGGGACGCGGTCAGGAAGGCCAACCGCACCTTGTCGTGCGTCCACAGATGCATCACGAGCAGGTCCAAGGAGGTGATGCTCCCCCTCTATGCGACACTGGTCAGGCCGCAGCTGGAGTACTGCGTCCAGTTCTGGATGCCGCACATCAGGAGGGATGTGGACAGCATGGAGAGGGGTCAGAGGAGGCCACCCGCATGATCCGGGGGCAGCAGGGCAGGCCCGACGAGGAGAGGCAACGGGACCTGAACCTGTTCAGCTTCCACAAGAGAAGGTGGAGCAGGGACCTGGTGGCCATCTACAAACTCACCAGGGGGGACCAGTGGGAATTGGGGGAGGCTCTGGTCCCCCGGGCACCACTGGGGGTTACTAGGAATAACTGGATCTGGACTGGGCTCCCAAGGGAGGTGGTGCTCTCCCCTATCTTGGGGGTCTTCAAGAGGAGGCTGGACAGATATTTGGCTGGGGTGATACGATCCCAGCACACGTTCCTGCCCAGGGCAGGGGGTCGGACCTGAGGATCTGTTTAGGTCCCTTCCAACCCCAAGTACATTTATTCATTTAAACATTGCCATTAATCCTATTGTATAAGTTATTTGTGGCTTCAATAATCAAGCAGCTCTCAGAGACAAAGCAGGCATTAGTTTGCTGGCAAGGACAGGCGCGAGGACGGGACGCAGGTGGACTTGACTGAATTTTTCCATTTGCTCACAAAGACGTGGAACCGGGTGGTGGTTCCTGTGATCTTTGCAAATGCAGAATGCGATCGTATCGCCTAGCGGATGCCACAGCAGAAGTGTTTTGAAACCTAAAATCCCTTATCAATACCAAAGTAATAAAAGATGAGTTTTTCTCCTCAAATTAAAAAAAACAAAAACAAAAAAACCCCAACAATCAAAAATAAAACCCCTAACCCTTGTTTCCTCTGCAATGGCCGATATTATATGGGAGCGAGGCAAACGTCCTCCTGTCTGCGTTTCCTCGACAGCACGGCCAGTTCCAGCTGGGTGGATCGGACGAGCACATTTGAGTACTGCTTCTGTGACGAGTATTGGTGCCTTAGCAAAGTGGCCACGAGTTCCTAGCCTGTTAGGAAAAGACGGACAGAAAAAAACAAACCCGAACCCTAGCGGCATGGATCTTTCTGCGTCTCATACCCGGCCTTCAACCCACCCAGCAGCAGACGAAATAGGCTTGTTTGGAGGCATAATTTAGCAACGTCAGCAGAGAAACAGGAGATGCATCCTTCTACCCTTAACGCTGTTGCCATCGCTGTCCCCTGTGCGTGTGCGTGAGTGTAAATTAAACACCCAGGTGTGAGTGCATCTTGAACCTACAAGAGTTCAAGTGTGATCCCTCTTCGTTGTTGTTATTTTTTTAAAGGAGTCGAGCCGGGGGAGGGAATTGTCGGGCACCAGTGCCGAATAGTGTTCGTCTGTCCGAATTCACCAAATAACAGCGACCCCTTTCTGTACCTCCACTTTAAAACTGACAAAGATCTTAGAGGCTAAGGTCTGTTTTAACCCTTTTGTTAGGATGTGTGTGTGTGTGTGTGTGTGTGTGTGTGTGTGTACTTCGTCCAACACCGTGCACGTGGGTATATGCAAACCAGTGACACACAAGCACAACTCTGGATGTGTGGCAGTGCTGTTTTTCTTGGTCATTGTGCAAGACATTCACTGAAAGCTGCTATTTTCATTCACCTTGTAATTGTACTTTATTCTTTTGGGTTTTTTGATTATTGTTTTCTACGTTTTACATGTGGGGTATACACCATGTGTTAAATATGCAATAAATTGTTTACCGGATGCCCTTCTAAAGGGTAGTCCTTTGTAAAGCTGTACAGACTTTGCAGTTTAAGCACAATGTGCACACGTTAGTTTTCTATACCGCGAGACATGATTTTTTGCAGAGGGAAAGGTACTATTATGTTTCTATACAAAGTAAATGGATCAACATTTGTGCTTCATGTAAAGCTGCTTTATAAAATTGTAAAATAAAAGTTTTTATCTTAAGGCGCGTTCGGGCTGGTTCATGCGTCACTTGAACCGTGCGCGTGGCAGACTGTCCGCACCCGACTGCAGATAAGTCGACACAAATCCAGCGTTTGGTGAGCAATCCGCCTAATGGCTTTCAAATGTCATCCTGAGGAGATGGTATCCTTGAAGCGACGACCCTAATGCTAAACGTACCTGCTGCTAGCTAGCTGCTTTGGGGCTGCCTGTCGTCCTGGCTTTCCCCTCGTGCCTCCCTGTCTCCCCAGCCTCCCGAGAAAGGCGGGCGCTGCATTGCTGGATGTCGGTCGTTTCCCCCGACGGACCCCTGGAAGTTGCATTAAGCACGAGAGCACGCGATTTGTACAAAGGCGTGCTCATTCTGCAAATGAAGCGATCGTTAGACCTGTACGCTAACGATGCAGCTGGACGGCCGCCTGGGACCGCGTGTAGCAGTCTCTCAACCCTCCGGGTAGATCAGACAGGGGGTTACCGGTCCCATTTACCTGGTAATCGGATAACCGGTGCTCTGTCTTACCCGTAGACGTGGCAGTTTATCCATAGCCTTAAAAAAACAGCAGCATCTAGCCGAGATGAAATCCCAACACAAAATCCTGTTCTGCAAGACTCCTCCCGTTTCATGTCCAGAGCAAACGTCGTGCTGGGTGCCCGGGGGCCGGGTAATTGGAAACCCCCTTGCTGGTGACAGCCGTGGCCCCGGGCACTGGCAGCTTGGAGGGGGAGAGCCCTGCTTTCTTAGTTGCCAAGATCACGCTGACCTACGTACAGTATATTAACCCCACTCTACCGTCTCTTAATTTGCTAGATTTCAAATACTTAGAGCATGCCTCGGCTGCCATGATGCCGACTTTCCAGCATTTTCCTTCAACTCTCTGGATGCAAATATTGATTTTCATTACTTAGCAATTTAAGAATGTCAGAATTGAAAATAGAAGGGAATTTAAATATGTTGTCTTGGTGATGAATTTGAATGTTTGCTGCTCAATTTGTGGTGAAAGGAGATACATTTACCATCTGCCTGGCATGATTGATAACTCGCATATATGGGTTACATTTCCTGAATGTTAAATAGCTTTCTTCTATAATTTACTAATCCTCTTCCAAAAATGGAAAGGAGCTATTTAGACGGCACAAGTGCTCAGCATTTTACAGCATTCAACAAGGTTGAATTTGCTGTGGCAAAGTGCAGATGCTGAAAACATAGCCCAGATTTGCCAGTCATGAGTCTTTAGGAGAGTACAATCCTCCATAAATATAGCAGCTTTCCTTCATCTCTGACCCTCCAAAGTTGATGTCTTTTAAATAGTTCAGATAACTGTCATCAGAATGCATTTTGGTGAAGACGGCAGCTTTTGCACTGTAGCGCTCGGTGTAGCTTTGCAGCAGTCAAAACATTTTGCTAAACTGGAAAAGTAGGGTGAAGTGGGGGGCAGGGGGTGACCTCCTGGATGCTTCGTTACTGTTAGGATATCGTTTGCATTATGACACTGCCCGGGACCCCGAGTCGCAGACTAGGACCTCGCTGGTCCCTTCGCTCTTTGTGGATTAAGTCGCAGCAGTTTTCTGTTTTGTATTTTACCGTGTGATGAAGCTGCTTCTGTCTTTATTCATAACTAATAATTGTATCTGCCTCTAGGATCTCTTCTCCCGGGATCTTGCAGTGCCTTGTATACGGGGGTAAGTGCAAGAAACATTTCTGTCCTTATATAAAAAGAAGCAAGGTGATGTGCTTGCTCACATACAGAGGTAGCAAAGTACTTTGTGGTCCTAA